ACCTAAGTAGACATTTCTCCAAAGAAGACATACCGATGGCCAAGAAGCACATGAAAAGCTGCTCAACGTCACTATTAGAGAAATGCAAATCAAAACTACGATGAGGTATCACCTCACACCAGTTAGAATGGGCATCATTAAAAAATCTACAAACAACAAATGCTGGAGAGGGTGTGGAGAAAAGGGAACCCTTGTGCACTGTTGGTGGGAATGTAAATTGATACAGCCACTATGAAGAACAGTATGAAGGTTCCTTAAAAAACTAAAACTAGAATTACCATATGACCCAGCAACCCCACTACTGAGCATATACCCAGAGAAAACCATAATTCAAAAAGACACATGCAACCCAATGCTCATTGCAGCACTATTTACAATAGCCAGGTCATGGAAGCAACCTGAATGCCCATCGACAGACGAATGGATAAAGAAGTTGTGGTACATATATACAATGGAATATTACTCAGCCATAAAAAGGAATGAAATTGGGTCATTTGTAGAGACGTGGATGAATCTAGAGACTGCCATACAGAGTGAAGTAAGTCAGAAAGAGAAAAACAAGTAACATATATTAATGCATATATGTGGAACCTAGAAAAATGGTACAGATGAACCGGTTTGCAGGGCAGAAATTGAGACACAGATGTAGAGAACAAACGTATGGACACCAAGGGGGGAAAGTGGGGGTGGTGGTGTGATGAATTGGGGGATTGGGATTGACATGTATACACTGATGTGTAAAAAATGGATGACTAGTAAGAACCTGCTAGAAAAAAACATAAAAAAATAATTAAAAAAAAGAAACAATAGTGCAGCCTTGGGGCAGGGTCCTGGTTCAGCCTCAATGGATACACATAACAGTATCTTTGAGCTCTTCTGCAGAACTAAAACCCCCAACAAATGGAAGATATCAACTACTTAATGAAACATTCTTCACTCTCGAGAGAAGGTCACAGATCAATAACCTTGAGAACCATAAAAGCTTATCAGGAGACCACCTGAGGTCAGATTAAAGGACTGCAGGCCCTGCACACACCCTGATCCTTATCAGCAACCCTACCCTTGAATTACTGCTATAAAACTCCTCACCAAATCCCCCTGGGTTGGGACACATAAGCCCACTGTGTCCCCCTTTGCCTGGCAAAGCAATAAGGCTATTCTTTTCTACTTCATCCAAAACTCTGTCTCTGAGATTCAATTCAGCACTGGTGTACAGAGGCCGAGTTTTTGGCATCAATCATTAGTGAAATCCCAGAAGCCTGCTTTCTACCAAAACATTGATTGTAACACTCATGAAATAAAATTTTGTTGGGAATATCAATCTGTTGTTTTCCAGGCGCTGTGCTATATACTGGGGATTCAACAATGACGTGGTCCACGCCCTTCAAAAAAAATCAGAAAATCCTGTTATGCACCCTCCACTTTCCTATTTGGAGGAGAAATTTCCTAGCTTTGAGACACTGACTACATGTGCAGCCAGCTAAAGTACATTCTCAGGTCCCATCCCAGAGTTCCTGAGTCTAGATCTGCAGTGGGTTCAGATGTTTCATAATCAAAGTTAGAGAAATATTTCTCTTCTACATCCCTTTATTTATTTGTTCATTCGGCTATTATTGAGTGCCTACTCGTGTAAGTCTTTGTGCCAGGGGCTGTCAGGGAAGCAAAGATAAATCAGGGAAGAATAATGTCTTATAGACTCCTATAGTTTATGAAATGTCTCTGTATGTGCAGTTTGTTTGATCAGTGGATTAAGGATTATCTCCCTCTTAGAGATAAGGCTTATTTGCTCAAAATCACACATAAGTAGGTAGTTGGAATTAGGATGAAGGTCACTGAGTAAACAGTGGGGACTAGGATGAAGGTCACATAATAAGTAGTGGGCACTGGAATCAAGGTTATATAGTAAATAGTGGGCACTGGAATCAAGGTTACATAGTAAACAGTGGGGACTGGAATCGAGGTCACATAGTCTTCACATAGCGGGAACTGGAATGCAGCCCAGCTATGTCTTCCCACTTGACACAAGAGTCTGCCCTGAAAAGGTGATCTTGAGATTCACCAGAATTTCAAACCTAGGAATTTAGGTCTAGCAGAAAGAAAGGGAGAAGGAGAAAGATAGGGGATCCTGGAAACTGGTATGTATAGAGGAGAAAAGGGGAGGGGCAGCTTGTCCCTGGAGTGGCTGCTACCTAGCCTGAAGGCTGTTAGTGCCAAGGTGACAGGGGCCAAAGGTGGGTTCCCTGCAGCTTTGTGCCTGGAGTGAGCTCTGGGAATCTCTGAACTTCCTCCTCCCCCTGGCCTCCTCCATTTCCACCCTTCCCTAGCCCTGAGGCACCTCTGCTATCCCAGCAGAGGAGAGATGTCCTGAGAGGACCTGACTCCTCTCCCACACAGCCACCTTTATACCCTGAGACCCCTTCTCCCCCTGGGTGACCAGTAGACCAGAGGACATGCCCCACCTCACTCCAGGTGGTTGGCAGCCTGCCACAAACCCCCACCCCACCCCCTGGCCAGCCCTCTCCTCTCCCGGGACTGGGCTCCCAGGGCTCTGGGTTGTCAGTTAAGCAGACCTGACAGCTGACAGCTTTCCAAAACAGCCGGAGCCTGGTTAGCTTTCCTTCCCTTTTTGTTCTGCTCTTCCTTTCCCCTGGTGTTGTTGCAAGACTAGAAGCCTGACTGGAATTTAAAGCAAGGCTTTGGGATAAAAATATATACTAGCACCAAGCTTTGCTCTCCCAGCCTCCCCCCTCAGATTGGCAGCTGCCCACTTTCCGGGTCCAAGAACAGAACACCTGCAAATGGTTAGAGGAGGGGTCTGAAGCGGGAAGGCGGGTGAGCGGTCACTGAGATGCCTGAGTAACCCTCTCTGTCCGGGCGCTGATTGTCTTTTTATTTGAGGCACAGGAGGGGCAGGAATTCTCCAGAGAAAACACCTGGAATCTGTCCTCCAGGTCCCGAATCTCCTTTGCTTTCCTGAAGTCTGGGATGCCAGGAGGCACCTGTGCCCGCCACTAATCCATCCTACTCATGTTATCTGCCTGTTGCCCTACCGGTCCCTGCTTATGGCAGATAGATAAATAGCTGGATAGATAGATAAGAAGGAGAGACTCTAACCAGCTTAGATAAACTATCCTATTTACATCTCCGGGTCCAATCCATCAATCCATCGCTCTGTCTATTGTGTTCGTGCTCTCTCTCAATCTGCCACTTCAGTCCCCATCAACCATTCATATGTCTTCCTTCTGCCCTACACTTTCACCTTCCACCCCCCATTTCCCGGCATCAGAATAAATCCAAAGCTGAGACTCCATGAGGCGTGTCCTTCCACTCCAGATATCCTGGAAGTGTGGCCATGGTGACCGATGCTGGTAGCTTCCTAGGATGCTCCTCCTTAGGACATATCCAAATAGCCCTGTGAACACGCTGGGGGACAAAGGCCAAGGGAGAGGTCTGCTGCTGGGCTGGTCCTGAATTCACAGATTTGCAAATACAGCAAAAATTTCCTTAATCTAGGCTCTCTTGGGATAAGGGAGGTGGTGGGAGATGACAGCGCACTGGGGTCAAGGAAGAAAAGGAAGGCTTTGTATATTTTTGCACACAAAACAGTTTTATCATTTTTCAAGTAATTCAGACCAACTAGGTGAAGTGAGAGTGTAGGAGAGGAGAGATAAATGGTGGGAATTGTATACGTTTCATAACTGGTACTATTTGTTGTCATTCGGTTAATTTCTTTAGATCCTCTGAACTTCAGATTTCATGGCTAACGGCATGAAGGGGCTACTTTGAGCGATTACATTCCCAGAAAATGGAGTGAACATTCATGATATTAATGATATATAAAAATATCAACAATTTAAAAGAAGATAGAAAGAATAAAAACTACAACCCGCACCCAATCAAGTCTCTTGTGCACGCGAGTTAGGCACACACAAAAAGTAGAGTATCTTGCCCTTTCCTGGGGCTACCAGGTATCTAATTTTGTTTGGCCCAGAAAATACAGCAAATCTCAAGCTTCTCATTGCCCTTATGAAGTCCATCATAATCCTATTTTCATAATCTATCCCAGGATTTGAGTCCCCAGCTGATGGCCCTGAGGCCTTTGGTGCCTACACGTTCCCCTGTTGACTTCTGAATAGATGTGAGCCAAGGAAAGTAGTACCTCTGTCTAGAAACTCTCTTTAGAAAGAACACAGTAAGATATGATAGGACTTTGTTTAAACTGAAAAATATCAATCGATTAGCCTGATCCCCTGACACCCGGTCAGAGATATGGGTCCACCCCCTTGCTCCCCATAGAATGCGACCTGCCACAGGAGGGCAGCACCATCCTGGACCCTGTGAAGTTCCCATTGAGGACCCAGAGGAAAAGGGATAGCAGGGCTCCGGGCTGCTGCACCCCGACTCCAGCAGAGCCCCTGACAGCTTCCAGAACTGCCTGGAGACCTGCCTCCCTGTCACTGTTGGAGACTGCTGGTGACAAATGGACAGAGCATCCTTGGAACAGAGACACAGTAAAGACAGGAGGAGCAGCGCTGGTGGGGAGGCACTGTCACCCTCCAGGGTTAGAGAGACTCTGAAAAAAACTCAAGGTCCCGTCGTAGCCCAGGAAAATAAAGTGCATCTAACATCTTACTCATCCACCATTTAATAGACATAGGCTGACTCAGTCTGGGGGTATGTGATAGTTATTTACAAGCCAACACTGGAGAATACCAGAAGATGTCAATAAGTAATTACGGACCCTGAAGAAGAAGAAAAGGTCCATTCCCCAAGCCAGCCAGATGAATATACGAAAGGAAGTATTTTTTAAGTGGGAGAATATTGCTTTCACATACATTATTTTAGAATAAAAAGTTCTGAATAAACATTGTTTTAAGAAATAAAAGGGGGAGCTCTAAGCCCTTATATTTCTTGATTCTGATGGAGGGAAAATCACTTAATGCTCCCGACTTCTGTTTAGTTTATTTGTAAATGGGGAAATGAGGATGATGCTTTCTTACCTTTTTGAGGACTGGGTCTCTTGAGGCGCCTCCCAACTATCTGATCCATGAATCTGAGGCATCCAAGGATTCATCATTGAAGGGAAGAAAAGCTTCCTTCTTACTTTAAAGATAATCCCTGGAAAAGAGAAAAGCAAACAGTGAAGCAGAAAGTCAAGTCTTCTTATATCTCTACTATTCAAATCAAAAAAAGGAGAAATAAAAGGCTTTAACTCATGGGCTTTGTGTTGACAAGAGAGCTCCTGAGAAGGAATGCAGTGGAATAAATTAGCACAGTGTCAGGTACATAGTAGGTGCACGGTAAATGTCTGTATGAATGGATAAATGAATGAGTGAGTGAGTTCATGCACAGTGAGTGCATGAACTAAGATGCCCTGAGTGGTGGTGTTTCACATGACTGCTTGGTACAAATAGCATCTCTAGCAAAGGAAGTTGCAAAAATTCCATGGAGATCTTTAAAAAGAAATAGACTATTTAGTGTGTTGCTTTAGGAGTGGTTCTGTATGAAGATAGTGAGAAAGGCTTGATCAGTTTATGGACAAGCTGTATCACATCTCTCAGGGAACTTGTTAAAAATACAGATTCCCGGGTGCCACCTCAGATCTGCTGAATCTGAATCTCCAGGGTGGTGCCTGGTAACTATATTTAATGAGTTTCCAGCAGATTCTCATGTAGCCAGCCTTCAACAGTTCCCAGATCAGCATTGGGGAACTATTGTTCTAGATGATACTCCAAGGACCCTTCCAGTCTAAGGGATTCTGTGGAACTGGCACTGGGGGGTAGCAATCCAGGAAAGAGAGTTCATTCATCCCACATTTATTGAGCACATACTAGATGCCAAGTATTGGAAATATAACAGTAGATAAGAAAGCATAGTCAGGTTGCTATGGTGTCTCACTAGCAAAAACAACTTGACCTCCAGAGAAGACCAGTAGAAATCTACCCCCACCATCTTCATCATCCTATAGGACAAGATTTTTTTTTTTTTCAATTTTGGGTCTCACAGAATAAAAGTAATTACTTAGATTACATAAACTTTCACAATTAATAAAGTGCTTTTAGACACAGCAGTCACATGACACAACAAATTAGGTATGGTTATATCCCAATTTCATATATGAGAAAAGTTTAATTACTTCCCCAGCGTCCTTTAGCTTGTATGTAGGAGGACCAGGAATCCAATCCAGGTTTCGAAACTCCAAATACAATGCTATTTTAACTGTTCTCTAGAGACACACATCATCTGTGAAGTTTGGCTTCGATGTCCCTGTGAAATTGCTGATGTTTTTTTCATATTTTATCTGTGCAATAATAGTATCTCCTAAGGCAAGGAAAGTGCCATCTTCCTCAGTAAGATAAAACCCAGATCTACAAGGAGGAGGGCAGCTGGACTGATCGGATTTCATTTTTCCCCTAGATTCATCTTCCCTTGGTGAAATTTCCCAAAGTGTGTTCCTCAGAAAACCAACCCTACAAAAAGTTCCTGAAAGGAGGGTTGTTTTATCATAGAGGTTTAAGAAGCACTTCATGCTTACCTCATCCTAGAGATGCACTCTACTTGTAATGTATTAAAGGCTATCGTGAGTTAAATAGTGAAACTGCAAAAAGGTATATTCATTTCCAAATCCCTGGAGCCTCTGAATATTACCTAATATGGCAAAAGATATGATTAAATTAAAGATCTTGAGAGGAGCAGATTATCTTGGGTGGGCTCTAAATGCAATCACATGTGTCCTCATAAGAGGGAAGCAGAGGGAGATTTCTCACACACACACACACACACACCACACCCACAGAGAGGAGAAGACGTTGTGAAGATAGAGCAGAGAGAGGCGTGAAGATGCCGGCCTAGAGGATCGGAGTGACGTGAACACAAGTCCAGAAAAGTAAACACCCACCAGAAGCTGACAGAAGCAAGGAACAGATTCTCCCCTAGAGCTCATGGATAGGACACAGCTCAGCCACTGAGCCCTGCTCAGTGATACTGAGTCAGACTTCCTGGCTCCAGAACTGTGAGAATGCAAGCCACCAGGTGTGTGGCAACTTGTTACAGGAACCACAGGAAACTAAAAGGGCTTGAGAAGTCTTGCTAGGAGTCAACTCATTTAAAATGCTTCACCCAGCATTCCCCAAACCTGGTTAACCATGGCATTCTTTTTCCCATAAGGCTTATTAATTTCCAAACAGGACACACATTATATGCAACCCACTTTGGAAAATGCTGCCTAAGGGAAATCTTTTGTTAATTACTAGGGCCACCACTGCTCATCTGGGGACAGAACTGCTCCTACTTAATGTTCTGACCAAACATGAGCCAGGATCCTGTCGTGCCAACACTGCAGCACAGCTAAGACCAGGGGGAGTATTTAAACAAGACTTTCTGAAGGCTGGGGATAGCAAAAGAGGAAAGCCGAGAGGGATATAAACATAAAACTACATGCTGCTCCTGCCAAAGGCCTTTCGGGGGAAGGTCCACTGGGGTGCCCTGAAGGGATGTTGCCTTGCCTAGCTCCTAGCCACTGGCATATGGCCCCAAATATAAACCCAACATCCTAGAGCATACCAAAATGCCTCTAGGCTTCGCTCTAGAGAGCAAGGCCCATGTGTAAAGAATCTCTCTGAGATGGCTCTTCTGCAATGACCAAGACTTGGACAATGGTTGATGGGCCCAGTATAATAACTGTGTCCAACTATGGCAGGGCACCTCTAGCATTAGTGCAAGAGATAAACATGGTAGAAGGCAATGCTACCGACTTCTTCCTTTCACCTAGTTCCAGATGACGGCCTCATCCTCACCACGCATCTGTGCATAATCAAGGACCAAATCAAAAAAAGAGGCGTAAGGTCAGTGCGGTGGCTGTCCCCCACCCAGGAAGGAAATGCCTCCCTCTTGTTTTGTAGGGGTTACGTCCAGAATTACAATAATGGGAAAGCTGCATTTTATTACAACCCCCATTTCCAGCCTTCCTTCCCTAATATCTACTTGTTGCTATGACTATGAGCATTATTTTACACACCTCTTTCACATGAATGGTTGGCTGTTGCCTTACGTAGGCCATTAAGAAAGACTCCACCACTCAAGCAAGGAGGTTTAATTCGATTTTTAAATGAAAAAGTTCTATGACTTCAAAACGTTTTTGTACACTCCAGCTAGAAGGTATTCAGCCTTTCTGTGGAGGGCAAAGGACTTGGTGTCCTGGCCATTGAGCAAGGGAGTCAGTCTGCATGACAGTTGAACAGCCACTGTACGAGTTCTCCTGGCTGTGGATTCTTAGGAAAGAGAGCAAGAAACAGAGCAAATAACTCCAAGATGGAAAGGATGTTTACAGAGAAGAATGAACCCATAAAGGACATGTGACAGACACAGAAGAAAAGTGGCTGCAGGCTCAAGAGGCCAGGTTTCAGAGCAATTACTTAAAGCTAGACTGCCCATATGCTCCTCACTGAGCTGATTCCTCTGGACAAGAAAGGGAGAGAGGCCGGGGTGGGAAGCAGACTTACTGTCTCCACCATGCCGCTGAATATTCTACGAATGCTCCTTTATGACAGGGAGAATGGCTACGTGAACCTGATTGATACTCGTAATGTGCCGAAGCCAGCCTCCCGGTAATAGACTCTAAAAGCATTCACAAAAGCCTTAGCAAGGGGTGCTGAGAGGTGTGTGCATCTCTTCTTGAGATCTGAATGGAGGCCTTTTTTCAAAGGGTGACCTCGGGCTCATAGCAGGCCATTTCACCCACGGAAGCTACAGAATTGCTTTATTAATAAGCTGAACAGGTGAGTCCGAGGGGTACCTCTTTAAAGAAGTTTCTATAATTTCCATTCAACGGTGGGAGAGGAAGCCACTTCCTCCTGCCAGGGTAAAGGATGGCAAACTCTCCAGGCAGCCTCAAGAAGGAAGGAGAGTACATTCTGGGGGATGGGAGGGTGGTCGGAGAAGGGAAAATGTCACTCTGGAGGCTGAGTAGCTGGCGCCCCTCTCCTCTCTGGCTGAACTCTTGGCAGCTTTGTGGATGCGCCTCAGAACTGTGACAGCTGGAAACAGGTGAACTGGTGCAGGTAAAAGAACCGACCCCCGCCTTTGGAAGCATGGAAACAATCTCCACTAACCTTTATATGAGGCATTTGTTCTTTTCCCATCATTGTCTCTGCCTTTCTGAAGCCTTGGATAGAACCAGCATCGTAAATACCAACGTGTCAATTAAAAATGCAAGGATGCAAGCCCAACTGTGCCAAAGTCCGTTGGTCTGCAGTGGAACAGTGATCGAGGGGAGATGATTGAAATCTAATGGACCCCCTTGGGGATCACCTGCCTCTACACATTGTTTCCTGCCACCATCACTGACCCCAAATGGGACCATCTGACGGGGAATGAGCTGTGCAATCTGCAGACAGATTCTGCACCATATGGAACAGGCATTCCAATTGCCCATTGCAATACACGAAAACAATTCAGGATTCTAACTCGATTTCCCTGGCGATCGAGTCTTACTATCACTGGGCTCACTCGAATCAGATCTGCGGCTGTATTTATTAAATATAAGTTTCTAAACATATGGCTCGAGGGTTGGGTAATAGGATATGGAGTCAGGCTTAGCAGGAGGATGATTTTTCAGGTCTCCCACCAGGTATTCAATGCCAGCAGGTATGAACCAGCCTATGGCTGCTCAGAGCCAATGAAGGATGGGTCTTCTCAGTCATGGAAGTGTATGTAGTTGGTTAGAAGTTACAACTAAGGAGGTCAAGGTTATGGGTTCAGATAGCTCTGTCTCCTTTTTATTCAGCCAACATTTTAGTGAACAGCTATTATGTACCATGCACAGGGCTAGGACTTGCTGATACCAAGGTGAGTAAATCATGACCAGTATGCTTGTCTAGAAGCCACTCAGTCAGTCTTACGTGGGATAAAGACAGGAAGATAAACATTTTATTCTAGTGTGGTTTGTGCTGTAAAATAAACGTGCACAGATTGATATGTTTGGGAGCCAAGAAAGGGGAGCAATGAAAATCTAATGTTTCCCATTATTTGTACAGAGCTTTACAGTTTACACTTCCTAAGTCTAACACAAAATTTAGAAGCAGAGGTGTGTTTTCTTTACAAGGGAAGGAA